TGTGTGAATTGGAATGTGGCGCATAAAGCCACACCTCAGGCTTTAAAACTAAAACCAACCTTTAGTTTTAAAGCTGCCATACTCTTAACCACCGAATTACAAACTCTTTAAGTTTCTGTAGAAAACCAAATATTCTATTCAAGAGACACAAAATGTTAGGTATACTTAGTATATATCTACCCAATTAAAAAAAATCAATGGACTAGGGGTATGAAGAAATATATTATGAAGATCGTGTGATATTTATTCACCCTTTATTCAAATGAAGACAGAATAAAATATTTTTTTTATCTGTAGTAATCAATATGATGCCACAAATAAAATGTTGAATTTTTTTTTCCTCCCAAGTCTTGGACTCTAACTTACAAGAACCTCAGTATACTTTGTGGATTTCGTGGGGGCAAATCATAGTCCCTGGTCTGAGGAGGGGCTATCTTGCCCACAACTCATAATGCAACATCTCAGCGGGGCCTATTAATTTTCCATACACACAGAGCCAAATTCTGCCTGGGATTATTATGCAATTTTCAAAATGGCTTTAAGTCTTTTAACTTACAAAGTTACCATTTACATTGCACTGGCCCGCTGGCTGGGATGAATGAATGGACACTCTCTTTCCCAGAGGACCATAATTCATTCTCTGATCATAGCTTATACATTTGGGAAAATTGGGATCAGTGTGCCTGGCGCCTCCCCTCCCCTCTGCTCCACAAAGGAGTCATACACGGAAAGAGAAGGAGAGACAAAGTAGCTGTGTGCCATAGAGCTCAGAGGTGTGGCTAGGGAGGTGTTGACTGTGAGCAGCGCCAGTTTAACATATAAGCAACTGTCTACATGATGTGATTTCAGGTGCACAAAAAAGGCCTCATTGCCCCTCAGTTTAAACACTCCCTTCCCACTGGCGAATGCCTGGAATTCCACAGTTTTTTAGAGCTCTGCTCCTTTGGTTTAAAGCTTTGATCCCTGTTAAAATACTCATACCCCTGGGTGGGCAGTCCCATTATATCCTGTCAGCCACATACGCTGTGAGCAGATGAGTTTTAAAGTTTCTTCTCTGAAAGAATGTTTTCAGGGTAGTGTGAAGGGGAGAAGATAGGGGGTGCCTGAGGGGGATGGGAACTGGGCTCAAGGGGCAAAGGGAACTGGACTCAAGACAAACCATGTGTGCTTGTGTGGCTTTGTATGAGCCCCTCCTATGGCGGCAGCTGTTGAACACTCTTTCTTAGCCCTCTCCCAGAAACCCTGATTTATGCTGCTTTTGGAGCCATGGAACCAGACTCTCCTCCCAGCTACGGCAAGATAATAGCTGCTGGCTGCAGCTGGGAATTCTCAAATTCATTTAAACTGGAGACTAGGAATGAAAGGTGAAGAAAAGTTCTGGGCCTGCTGTGCTAGGTAGCCTTCCTCTGAGGTCCGGAGAGAAAAATGTGGCCCAATGATGTTATCTAAATGTTTCCAACTGGGCCTGAAAGCACAAAACCATGAATTGTAGAAAGTGCACACCGACTCAATCAGCACATCCTTTTGTGTTTCTAGGCTGATTGTTTCTCTTTGTCTCTTCTTGCTAAAGAGCAAGGATGAGTCATTGACCTGACTGCTAGCAGGAGAAAGTTATACAGTATATAATGAAACAAACAGATTTTATACTTAGGTAAAGGAATGGAATTTTAGTCAGTAAAATTACATGTCACTGTGGAGTCAGAGTGGCCAGCTGCCCACGGTGTTCCTGTGAGCTTTCTTGACTAAAAGCCTATTCCTCTGCACCTTTTCCAGCACCTAAGATTCCACTGTTAGAGTCATCACTTGTGAGCTGGGAGGCTAGAAAATGTTTGAGAGGCACTTATTAAAATTGAAACCTTTGAGTAGCTGGGAGGAGTAGCAGAAGCTTTTAAGCAAAAGGCATTTTTCACAGAACCCCAGGGCCAGTCTGCCTATGACCTAGCCCAAATCCTAGTCATTCAAAAGTTTTGTTATGTACTCATATTCCCAGTACTATTTAATGTTTTTCTTTAAGCCAGCTCACATTTTATTGAAATAAATTTATCACAGCATTTGGCTTTGTCCTGATGGGTTGGATTCTCTCTCTCTCTCTCTCTCTCTCTCTCTATATATATATATATATATATATATATATATATATATATATATATATAATTTTTTCTAATTCATAATAAAATAGGTATTTTTTGAAACAAAACTAAAAGACTTCACTGGCCCACATACCACACTTCACTTGGGAAGCACTGACCTGGTTTATACAAAGAGTATTAGATATAAAAGGATATATTAAAAATAAGTTGCAATCCCCTTTTTTCAGGGTCTTCAGTACCCTGCAGTGAAAACAACTGTTGCCTTTGTAGTTAGTAGCATGAACTCTGGAAGATCATGAATTTATGGGAGGTCATGTCTTCCTCTACGGGGTCATGAAATTCAATCAATGCTTGCCTTCCAATCTGCCCTTTGGTCACAGGGCTCCACAGGTGGAACATATCAAACTCACCAGCCAAATTATGACTCTTAATTGGTGTTTCTTTTAAAGTGGATATGTCATTTGTCAAATGTTCAATGCAGGAGCAGGCCTAGCCCCGGGCAAAATTATGAAGTAGGAGAAGAATGCCAGATACATAGGCAGCACTCAAATGTTTGTTGAACAAAGAATGAATGAGCCCTCCGTCCTTGACTCTTTCTCTCCCATCCCCCACATCCACTAGGTCACTAGGCCCTTTTAATTCTATCTCCTAAAGATTGCTGCAACAGCTTTTCTCATTTCTTGTCTGGATTATTTTCACAAGTCTCTTAACCAGCTTTCAACTTTCTTCCTTCCCCAAGCCATTCACCACAATGTTGCTGGAGAGATCTTTTAATAAGGCAAATATGACCATGTTACTCCTCTACTTAAAATGTCCCTAAGTGGCTCCCTAGGCTCCTTCCCATGACTTTAAAACTCTGCATCATCTGGCACTTGCTTACCTCTGCTGCTAAATCTCCAGCCTGAGTCCTGCTACCTTCCAACTAGGCCACACCAGGCTCCCTCCTCTCAGTCTTTGTTTATGCTGCTGCTTTTTCCTTGGCGCCCTTCTTCCCATCTTTTTTTTTTTTTTCCTCATCTCAACTCCTACTGGACTTTCAAGCCTGAATTTAGGACACCATCTCTTCTGGAAAGCTTTCTCAGACCTTGTCTCTTGCCCCTTTAGAACTCTGCCTTTACCTCTGTGTGAGCACTTACCTCATGCTGTGCTAACATTTTTCTGTTTGCTTGTCTTTCCCATTAGTCTTGTAGCTCTTTGAAGTCAGGTACCATAGGTTAATCTTTGTATCCCCATTGTCTATTTGTGTCCCACAGTATCTGGTACGTAGTACGAGTTCAAATATTTGCTGTTGAACAAATGAATGAACAAATGAGCTCCTCAGTGACCTCTCCTTTCCTTTGCCTCTTTTCTCAGACCACAAGTCCTGCTAAATTGACCTCATCTCCCCTGACCTAGCACTTCCAGGAGAATTCCTGGTGTGGAGGCTCTGCTCTCCCTTTCCTTTACTTATTAAAACCTATGCTCACCTAGATCAGACACAACACAATCGGATGATAAACGAATTCACACTGAGGTGTTAAAGTCATTTCATTATACAAATACAGAGTTTCTACTTATGTGCTAAAGTGTGTGTGTGTGTGTGTGTGTGTGTGTGTGTGTGTGTGTTTCACAAGAAAGAATACATGGGTTAAAGATCCCTACTTAGGAGCATATAAGTAATGGCTACATGCATTCTTCCTGAGAGAAGTATTTGCTTTTTAAAGAACTGGATTTCTAATGGCGAAATTTAAGCAGGAGACATGGAGAGTTGAATGTAGGAGACATTTCAGCCTTCTATTTCACGTATGAAACAAGCTAGTTCTGGCTCACTGAATTTGCTGTGCACATGATTTTTCTAATGAGTTGGGCTGCGTTAAGCCCCAGGTTATTTTGCTGTCACCGGTTATGCTTTACCTCATGAAGGATCACCTGGGACTGTCTTGCAGGAGACAGATTCTTTTAACATTCTGGGATCAGATGCTTTCTCCGACTTTGTGTGGTTTTGTTGAATCAAACCTCGTAAGCCGCACAGGCTTTCAGACTTTCTAGGTACAGTATTCAAAGATGAGGCAGGCTGTGAACCCGCCAACGAGCCCCAGTTGCCATGGTTTGTGACTATTTGCAGGTCGGGTTTGTGAAACCAGCCATAGCTGCGATGGGAAAACCTTTCGAGGGAAGCTCCTTGGAGATCAGGGAGAGGAGGTGGATTTTGTGTGGCTCTGGTGGCCAGAGACAAGCTGGACCAGGCTGGAAAGAGACCTGTGGCAAAGTAGAGAGGGTCGCTTAAACCGGGAAGGATGGAGATATTGCAAAAAGCCGAAAGAGAAAAGCTCTCCCGGCGGTAGGCCAGCGAGCGAGCGGGCGGAAGGAGGAGTAAGGCTGGGGAACTTCTCCCAGAGCCAGTCAGAGGGGGGGCGGCTGCAGGGAAGCCAATCAGCACGCCGGAGCCCGCAGCCCCTCTGCAGCAGTTGTGCCAGAACGCCCTGTGTGCAACGGAGGCGAAGGGGGTGCGGGGCCGGGCGGCCAGGAGCTAGCTCACGCTCCGAGCCCGCTTCTCGTGCAGCCCCACTCGATCCCGATCCCGGCGCTGCGGGGCTCCAACAGCCCCCGCAGCCTGGTGCCTCCCCCCCCACCCGCAGGATCGCCATAGCCCCTCGGCCGTGCGGTTCGCCTCGCCCCGCTCCGCCCGGTCCTTCCTCGCCCCGCCCCTCCTCGGCTGGCCCCGCCCCTCCTCGGCTGACCCCGCCCCTCCAGTGCAGCCGAGCGTTCCCGCCCTCGCTCCGAGCTCAGGTAGCTGCGAGGAAACTTTTGCAGCGGCTGGGTAACGGCACATCTCCCGTTCCTCCGGCCACTGCTAGCCTCGCTGCTTTGGGGGCTGCTCTCGTCCCCGCCGCCACTCTCCCGCGCTCCCCTCGCCTTCCTCCCAGCGGGATGGCGGGGTCCGTGCGCACCGCGTGCTTCGTGGCCGCGATGCTGCTCCACTTGGACCTCCCGGGACAGGCGCAGCCTCCACCCCCACCAGACGCCACCTGTCACCAGGTTCGCTCCTTTTTCCAGAGACTGCAGCCCGGACTCAAGTGGGTGCCCGAAACCCCCGTACCAGGTGAGGAGTCCCTTAAGCTCTCCCCGAGCCCAGCATAGAGCCCCGGGGGCGCGGGGTGGCAGGAACCCCAGTGCTCTAACCCCGGGAGGCCGCGATCCTGAGAATCCAGGGGCACCGGGGGTGCTCGGTGTGCCCGAGGCAGACCGGGTCTCCCGAGGAAGGAAGAAGAGTGTGTGTGGACCGCGGCTGCATTCCCTGCACTCGCTCTGCTATCAGGGAAGGTGCTAGCGGGGAGGATCGGCCGTGATGGCCTGTTCCCAAGCGCCCATTTTTGGGGGGAGGGCGGGAAGGTGGGAGCTGGCTCCCAGGGCCTCTGGGAACGGGTGCCTCACAGCCAAACGGGTGCCTTGAGAATTTGCCATGCTTGCCTGCATATACGTGCCAAAATTTCAGCGGAAGCTGGACCGAGGCTCCAGCCATTTGGTCCCCAACCCGCGCGCCTCCTTCCTCCTCCCCGCAGCTTGGGTCCCCGAGCTTGTGGGCCCAAGTGCAGACAAAGTTGAGGTCCTGTCTCCAGATCTGCAGCGGTAAGTAAAGACACACAGAAGGAAACTTTTGAGCGCGAGGGTCTCCTACATGAAAAGGACCGATCCTTTTACTCAAAAACAGTATCCCTTCGCTAGTTTGGCAAAATCACTTCAAAAATGGTGCTGCTGGCCCCAGGAGCAGGAGTCCAAAGATGATCTAACTTCTCCCCTTCTCAAATTCATCACCCTTTTTTGACAGGCTGGACCCTGAAGGAAAGATGATTTTAAGTGGAGGAAAGTTCCCGAACGCCTGCCTTTTGTTCTCCACTCTCAGGTCTCGCTGAAAGGGCACATTTTATCCTTAGCCGAGGGCTGCCGCTGTCAACAGATGAATATTAATGGCCTTGTGTGATTGACCGTCCCACGGTCGATCCTAAAAGCCTACCTTAGAATATCACCAGAACAAGTCGCTACACTGACAGCGAGGGCAAGAAGAGTGGGTTTCAAACAGGTTAATTTAGCCGAAGTGCGCTCTGCAGAAAAAGGCGCGTAGATTCACAAGCCTTAAGACGTCTGTGGCCTCCCAGGGCTCTGCTCAAACCAATGCATCTATAGAAGCGCGGATCCCGTGCTTCCGAGGGATCTGGCAACCACCCTCGCCCAAGCCAGGCTCTTGAGCTCTCACCAAGTTAGAGAGGCGGACCTGGTGGTTGGACCAAGTTGTGGGTGTGATGCGCGCCCTGTGGGCGCTGCCAGCCAGCGTTCACCCGCGGGAGGTTACCTAGGCAGCCAGCGCGCCCTTGGCACCCTCGGCCTTTTCTTTAGGTGGATAAAAAGCCCAGGCGAGCGAGCCTGCTGTTTAGTTGCAAAGGTAATTGGTCACCCTTTTTTGGCGACTGAAAGGCATTTGTGCATATGTTAAATAACGCCTTGCAGGACTTTTCTCTAAGGAAGGGTAGAACTACCTCTTCCACTGTTAAATGTTAATAGCATACCACGTGGGCGTGTGCAGGAGCTGCAAGGGGCAACCTATGAATCAGTTCCACGGAGCTAAAACAACAGGCGAATCTCTCTCCCCCTCAAAGTGCTATGGTATTAGATTGCTAAAGCCAGAGAACAGGCTTTTGGTAACAATATAAAAATTGGGCTTCGCAAGGTAAGTCCCCACAATGTGGGCGATTTGAATTCAGGGAGTAAAGGTTGTGCTTGAAAGAAGAAAACGGCCAGAGGGAATGCACATACTGATTGAGCAACCCCCTCTACACACACACTCAGGCTTTCACTCCTCCCCCCCTCTTTCCCTCCCCCAGCTCTCTGGCTGCCTGCCTCTTTGCAGCATCTGTATAAAAGTATTGGGAGGGCCCACACACTGTGCGTATGAGATTTGGCCCGCACCCACCTCCTTTCCCGCTCCCTTACTCTGGTCCTAAAGATGGCCATACTATAGAGAACAGGGACTGGTAAATTTATTATTTCCCACTAGCGTTTCTCAAACCCCATAGGAAAAATCACTTTCCAAGGGTTTTTGCCATATAAACCCTATTTCACTTCCATTTAACACACACAGTGTTGAGTATCTTCTACATGGCAGGCACTGTTCTGACTTGCCTTGGAGCAAAGCCAAAATTCAAATATGGTGATATCCATACAGCTACCATATATCCTGGATTTACTGAGGCAGTGCATATTTCCCGTACTTTGTTCTGGCATAAGACCATGTGGTCTGAATTTCAGTTGAGCAAATATTGTCACTGTAGGTATGGAAAACATGGTGAAAATCCTAATGTCCATGTGTGGAAAGAGCTCATCAGTATTTCAGAGCAGAGACAATAATGGCAGACTAAATAGAATGGCAAGTGTATAATTTCCAAGTGAATAAATGTGTAATTTGCTGCTGTTGATTAGTGGTTGGAAATTGAAAGAGAGCTGCAAATTATTTGAGTTAGGAACCATCATGATGGCCACTTTTCATCCCCCCCATCTATATTTTAAGCAATGTTCAGTTTACTGGCTCCGCTGTTTTAACTGCATTAAAGCTTTCTTTGTCCCAGATAAAATGAGATTGGGTAACAGTAAAGAGAAATCCTCAAGAATGTCCTGCCTCACTTAGAAAGAGCATTTGGAATTGAGTGCTAACTTTGGCCATTAGCAGAATTGGGTTAGAGTGGATAAGGTACATTTCTTGTGCTAATATGGATGCAACTAAATTGCATTTGAAATCAGCCAGCCTAAAAAATAAATCACCGGTGCTGGAGGACTACACCAGACTTCCACAAAACTGCTCTAAAGCCTTACAATCTCACGTTCCCATTTCTTTTAGAGTGTTCAAAGGCACAGGATAGTGATTCTAATAGTATGTCCCTGAAATCCATAAATCTTTTCATACCCCAGACTTTTTTTTTTTTTTTTTAAGGATTTGTAACTTGGAAAGCACCACAGATGGAAACCAGGCACACAGAGTTAGCATTTGGCAGAAAAATCCATATAACTGACTTTCAGTGTAGCTCTTTTGCCCTTATTTAATTTAGAAAAATTCAGAAAAAAAGCCAATGAGCTCATAAGCCTAGATGTTTATTTTGTTTTGCTTAACCTACCCACAAGCGCAATCAAGAATGGATACCATTTTAGACAAGGAAAGTGAGTTAGTAATCAGACAATGATGTTTCTAATTGTCTCAAGGGAATGCAACAGAAGTCTGAAAAAAAATTCCTCTAAACAAAAATCAAGTGTAATTCACTTTATGAATGCCATGCACCACTTTCGTAGGGGGATGATGGTGAAGGGGAAGGATGAGAATGAGAAAATCAAACTTAACTGTGAAAGTGTTGCAACTCCCTAAAGATTGAGGAATCTTGCCTTAGAGGGCCTTGTAAAGCGCAAGAACCATTGCAGAAGGCCAAATGCCCGTATGGGTAAAAGGCAGCCTTTAAGAGCCAAATAGACTTTGGAGTTTCTCAAAACAGATGAAACAACACAAAGATAAAAATCGGCGTTTTTGAAACATTTGGGGCATTTGGTATTTGTTGTTGTTTTTCAAAGTGTCAGAACTGGCTCCCCAATTGGTTTGAAGCAGTTAGTGGTCCTAACGACTGTTAGAGAAAGTGAGGTGTAGGGAGGTTTTTTTTCCCTCCTCTGAGATTGCACTAAACATTTGGGTGGGCAGGTGATTTGTTAAAACTTTGAAAGAGTTGTATTATTGTTTGTTAACTTGAAAGAGTTTAGAGAATTTTTTTCCAATGCCGTCTGAATACATTTATTGTATTAATCCTGATGATTGGCGCGTAGATGTGCTTAGAGGGGCACCTCAATCTGATTGAAAAGATGGTTGATGATCAGTGGAGCACCTTGGCCTGAAAGGACACTAAAACTGCTTGCTCCTTGGCGGGCTGTGTTAGGTGCTGGGGGTATCTGAGGGGTTAGAAACGGTCTCTTTTGTTAAGGCGCTCACACTCTAGTGGGGCATACAAGTAAACAGGCTCTCAGGAAACTTGTAGGATTAAATAGGGTGAAAAGGGCTAGAAAATACCTCCAGGAAATTGGCTGAAATGGTCACAATAGCCAGCCTGGGGAAGGGAAAAAGAACTGAAGAGATGAAGAGGGAGATAGGGAGGAATCTCTTAATAGGACCGCCATCTTAAAAAAGTTTTCTTAATTCTTAGAGGGAAATTCCGTTTGTAAGCATTAGAAAAAATAGGCATAAGAAGGTTTTGATGGGTGCTAGATGCCAAGGATAGTGTCAGTTTTGCAATTCTTTTCCCCTTATGGACTGATAGGTTGTATCCAGTATTTTGATGCAATATTTTTGAGCATTCTGTTACTCCCATCTTTAGAGTTGTAATGCTGGTTGTTCATTGCAGCCTAGAGAAAGGCTGCTTATTATCAACCTGGGGGGAAAGAGTCCTGGATTTGTCTGCTATAAGACAAGACAGAAAAAATATGTTTTCTCCTTAAATTGTAGCTATCAATGACCCTGCCAACTTTAGAGTTTGATGCATATATAAAAACATGGGTCTTAAGGGGTATCTTATTGCTCATTTCCAAGAAAATTGAAGATAATCACTTGTAACTTGTGCACACGATACATCATTTGGAAAGAATTTCGCTGGGGATCATATTGCTCAACTGAAAAGTTCTGGCATGCTGAATTTGTACATTTTTGTGAATGCTTCCTTTTACTCTGATCTCTAGCTTTTTTCTGCATATGGTTGTTTGTATGTTTTAGATTATAAGCTTCTTAAAGGGAAAGCACTGCTTTTGATGCAGTGTGGAACACAATGTTAAGAGTACCATAGAGCATTTAGTAAATAATTGACAATAATATAATTTCTAGGTTATTATGTATTCTCTATGAACTCTCAAATACTTTCTTAAGCTACATGTTATCTTACTTATTTTAAAAGCCTAAGTCCAGATTTTATGTAGCATATTACTGGGGTATGTGCACAAACTTTTTGGACAACCTCTATTTTGACTAGAGACAGATTTAGGCATACTTCAATTAACTGGCAACTCTTATTATCAGGCAGGGCTTAT